CCCCCCTCTCTCAAATTCGGTCCCGTGTAGATGCTGCTCTCTCGTGTGGGTAAAAGGGGAAGAAGCAAGGGGAAGATTCTGACTTGCGATGTGTTGTTAGATCATCTCTGTAAGCCGAATCTTCGCCTGCCGTATCGTGGCCCGGCTTCTGTTGCTACTCATTCGGATTTCTTGGAGTGGTCGGCCTTGATCATGGCCATGGCGCAGTATCCTTCGACGTTCATGAAGCTCTCCGGAGGGTTCTCGGAGCTGCTGCCGCTGGAGGAGGGGACGGAGCCGGATGTCAAGGCGCTGGTGGACAGGATTCAGCCGTGGACTGATCTCGTGTTCGATGTTTTTGGGCCGCAGAGGGTCATGTTTGGGTCGGATTGGCCGGTTTGCAATGTTGGTGGCGGAGGGAATGCGGTTTCGTGGGGCCGGTGGAAGAGGGTCGTCGAGGAGATCTTGGACCGCAGAGGCTTGTCCCAGGCGGAGAGAGAAGGGGTTTGGGCCGGGGTTGCTGTCAAGGCTTACGGCGTGGAGATTTGAGTCTGTACTTAATGGTTACGCTCAGGCTTATTCATAGCTAGCTATATATGCGACGTGATATGCAAGGTCTCGGTCATAATACAAGATCCCAACCTATTGAAGATTCACGAACAATCCACCATCTACGAGTAGCTGCGCACCGGTCTTTTGTTCATTCCCTAGTAGTTAGTCATGGTACTCGGTAATAGAAGATAATCACAGCTGTCGTGCAGAAACTCACCACATAGCCACTCAATTCCTCGCACGCCAGAAACACAGCGGGGCCCGTCAGATCCCGCGGCTGACCCAGTCGTCCCAGCGGGATTCTGCCTTCCATGTATGTTCGCTTCGCGGGGTCGCTCATATCCTCGTCATTCAGCTGCGTGCGGATGGTCCCGGGCAGCAGCGCATTGCAGCGGATGCCATACTTGCCCAGCGCCACGGCCGTCGACTGCATGAGACTGAGCACGCCTGCCTTGGTGGGCGTGTAATGGGTCTGCTGCCCTCCACCGACCAGCGCCGAGATGGAGCTGATGCCGATGATCGAGCCGCCCGGGGGCGACTGGGCGAGCGCCATCTGTCGCGCGGCCGCCTGGACGGCGTAAAATGCCCCGGAGAGGTTGGTGTTGAAGGTGTGGCCGAGGAGGGGAGGGTCGACCCTGTCAGAGATGGAAACTATTAGCATTGTATTTCCCCACGGCCACCGCAGAAGCCACGCCAGCCAGCAAGTAAGTATCAAACGTACTCCAGGAATTCTTCGAACTTGCACACGCCCGCGTTGCTCACAAACACATCCAGTCGTCCGAATGCTTCTACCGTCTTGGCGACAAACTCGCGCCCCGTCTCGGGCTGGGAGATATCCCCCGCGACGGCAATGAACCTGGTCCCCTCGTCTCCGGTCACCTCGGACACCTCTCTGCGCAGCGCCTCGAGGAGTGGCTCATCGTTCGGGCCGCCGAGGTGGTTGACGGCTACCTTGGCGCCGTGGCGAAGATAGTCGAGGGCAATGGCCTGTTCAGGGATTTCAGTTGGTCAGGGCTGGCTCTTCTGTCTCTGGGAAGCTCATCGCAGAGCCCCAGGGGAAATGAAGGTACTCACTCTGCCAATACCGGTCAAACCACCTGTGATGGCGGCCACTTTGCCGATGAGGAGCTGTGGAAGCGGCATGGTGTTGTGATTTTATGTTGAATGTTGGCCAATTTCCCACCAGAGTCGTAAGAAGAGCTCAATCCGGGGCGACTATCCCGGGGAAATACCTAAATATATCTCTACCTTTAGATTTGGACCTCGCTGGAGGAGTCGGCCTTTGTTTTTTTTCAAGTGCTACAATCAAGGCCAACCCCGCCGAAGCGATAAGATGGTGGAAAGGGGGCACGTGGAGTCGCCGCGGGCGGTCTCGGGGGTTTCGCGGTATTGATACCCCGAGCTAACTTGTTTTTACCCCACACTTGCTCGTGTCGCTACATTTAGCCGACTCGGCGGTGCCACAATACAATTCTCCACGGTCGGGACCATTGGTCGGTCAATGAGAATTCTCCGTCTATGAACATGGAGTAACATCAGGCAGGCAGAAGGAAAAAAAGAGCATCAGTCATACATGGGACATCTGAAAAAGGGCAATGACAATAGAAAGTAGGATCCATTGCGCGCTGCGCAATCCTGTTAACAGCCTTCCATCGAGATCAATCATTCTATGCAGTTCCGTTGGTCTCGGGCTGCTCTGCTACCGGAGCGGGCAAGCCCTTCTGAGGAGCCGGAGTGAGGATAGTGGCGGCGTTGATGAGGGGAGCCGCGGGGTTCAGCTCGAGACCAAACCCGGGCTTGTCTAGGATCGACACATCCAGGTAGCCCTGAGTGGGGATCGGCTCGTTCAAAAACAGATTTCCGAAGACGGGCTCAACAGTGCTGCCGTCGGGGGAGTTGGCCAGGTACTCCTGGAACGGTGTGTTGGGCTGGGAGACAACAAAATGGTATGAGTATGGGCCTGAAGCGTGGGGGACCACAGGGATATCGTAGGCAGCGGCCATGGCCGAGACCTTCAAGAGTTCGGTCAGACCGCCAACCCACATCACGTCAGGCTGCACAATATCCAGGTTGCGTCCCTCAATCAGCTTGCGGAAGCCGTAGCGGGAGTACTCGTGCTCGCCGGTGGTGAACTTGACCGTGGGGTGGGCTCTCTTCAGAAGTGCATGGCCGTCGAAGTCATCCGGGGTGAGACACTCCTCCCACCAGTCAATGTTGATGCCCTCAGCTTCACAGCGCTTGACGAGCTCAATGGTGTAGGGGACATTCAGGGACATGTAGCAGTCCACCCGCAGGGGAAAGTCGGGGCCGACCGAGTCGCGCTGCTTACGCAGGTAGGCCACGTTCTTCAGCAGACCTTCCGTGCCCTCGTCGGGGCCGTGGGGGAGGGCGACTTTAGCGCCAATGAAGCCGGCAGCCTTGGCGGCGGCGGGCTGCGGCCCAGTGCAGTAGAAGTGCAGCCGTGAGCGCGTCGCTCCGCCAATGAGTTTGTAGACGGGCTCCTTGCGGATCTTTCCCACCAGATCCCAAAGTGCCAAATCGATCACGGAAATGACGGCCACAGGAAGACCTTTACGGCCGTAGAACATCGAAGCCCGATACATTCTCTCGAACAAGTCGTTGGTATCACGGGGATCTATCAATGAAACAACGGGGCTTAGTCGTCGTCCATTCTATAATATCGAGAAAAGATTCAAATAAAGACTCACCAGCACCGATCAAGAAACGCTCGAAGTGTTGGTGGACCAACCAGCAAGCGGGGGGGCCACCAAAGCCCGTGGCGAAGCCCTTGGTTCCATCGGTGGCTTCCAGCTCGACGCAGAAAGAGCCGAGGACGTTGATACCCCAGGAGGTGCGCGAGCCACGGTATTCCGCCCATTTGGTCATAGGGGTCGAAATATCGCTGTCAATCAGCCAGTGGCCACCCTTGACCTGAAGAGAGAGAAAGCAAGGTTAGGGCAGTCTCTTCCCACATGCGAATACCGGGCTGCGACTTACATTGTGATAGTCACCTCCGGAGCCCACTCCGCTAGTGATGAAAGTGCGAACTTCCTTGATGCGGGGGAAAGCGGGCGTAGTGCTGCTCATGGTGACGATGCTGTACAGACAACAGGATGTAAATCTACACAGGCGTACAGATTCTTAGAGAATAAAAATAAAAAAGCAAATGAGAACAAACGAGGAAGAAGAAAGACATTTCATCCCCTGGAAAACTTCTCATATTTGAACACATGCTACCGGAATGGCATCGAGGGGAAATAATTCTCCATTGCCCCGGGCGGGCAGCGCAAGTTCGGGGTAATAGTGGCCGAGGTCAACAGCTTCGAGGTTCTCTTCTCAACGAAATCGTCAGCTGACTGGCGGATCGGGCCTTGCCCCAACTTCTACGGAGGGAGTATGTACCTAGTAACTTGGAACTTGAGTCTGCAACTGTGCAACCTGAATGAAAACGGGCCAGACAAAGAAGCGCCGCGGTAGGAGAGATTGCGGGGTTGCCAGGTGAAAGGCTAGTACTATTCCCCGTTTGGGTCTTGCCCATCTGTTCATGGAACCCACCCAAACCCTGGCACCTGCACTGGGCACTACTACTGCCAAACCCACCTAAACCCCGTGGGCCTTAGCCTAGCCTGCCCGCACCGCGGGCACGCACTCCCGCCTGCCTGCCTGTCTGCTCTTCGCCTTTCTTTCTGCCTCTTCCCTTTCGCTTTCCCCGGTCTCTTTCTTTTGTTGTTCAATTCGGTTCAATTCCTCCCCCGATCTTCACCTCAACCCGCCCCCCTCCCCCTGTCATCATGAGGTTTTCCTGACTACTGATACCAATTGCCGTGGCTAAACCGACCTATCTCCCTCCCCCCCCTCCCCTCCTTCCTTGCAGATCCCGATTCGCCGAAGTACAGTGAAGTGCTATGCCGAATTCTGCTGCACCACCAGCACCACCAGCACCACCACCAGCACCACCACCAGCTCCTCCTGCTGAGCGGACTCCACCACCATATCGACCTTCTGGCGAGCCAGAACGGTATCAAAGTGGAGATGAGTCTTGGTCCGCTGCTGACAGTGACAATGACCGTGTGGCCCAGAACGACTCGAGTGCTTCTCGAGCATTGAAGCGCAAGCGCCCCCTTACTGTCTCGTATGTCTCCTCTTCAACCCGGCCTAAACAAGCTTTTGATGAATGAATGCTCTTCCGGCATCGTGCATCTGCATTCGCCCTGTACCTTCCTTTGTGAAACAGTAGTGACTGTCCTACCGACCTTGCTAACCTCCTTAACTACCAGGTGTGAGCTTTGTAAGCAGAGGAAGGTCAAATGTGGTAGGTGAGCCGCGTGGTAGTGCAATGTTACATACGTGTCTTGCTAACCTTGCTAGATCGAGCTCAACCAAGCTGTGGGTGGTGTGCACGCAATGGCCAGTTGTGTGAGTACAAGGAACGCAAGAAGCCTGGCCTTCGTGCGGGGTATGGCAAGGAGCTCGAACAGCGACTCGGTAAGCATACTTTCTGCCAATCTCATGTACTCTTGTAGCCCGCTCGACTGATATCGGAGATATAGACCGCTTGGAGGAAGTTATCCAGACGCAGGCTCGCCTCATTGAGAAGCATATCATTGGGGGCCAATCACGCCTGGGCCAAGATGCTCTTCATCCTGCACCATTCTCTTACAGTTCGCCTTCAGAGCCTTCTGCTGCTCATGGAACAAGTCCTCAAACTGCCTTCCACTTCCAAGAGCCAGCCTCGTTCCCGCACCCTACTCGTCAATCTGATGTCTCTATCACAAGTCCTTCGGACATGTCGGTGCGGAACACGCTACCAAATCACCTTCCGAATGGCATCTCTTCTGCGATCTCGTTGCCTCATCTTCCAAACAATTCGACCCAGAGTGATTATACAGGGAACGAATCTTCTTTGAAGGTCCCAGTGTCATTATATAACAGCCAGGAACAATCACTAGCTGACCCGGAACTCGATCTCCCCCCCTACGATCTACTATATGCACTAGTCGACCTCTATTTCGAACACATCAACACCTGGTGTCCGATACTACATCGCCGGACTACGCTCGATACGTTCTTTGGACCCTCTCCGTTAGAGGAAGCCGATCGAGTCGTGCTTTATGCCATTGTGGCAACCACGCTCCGCTTTTCGAATGATAGTCGACTCAACGCGCAGAACCGGAAGCGATATCATGACTCGTCTAAGCAGAAGGTGCTTTTCTACGGGCTGGAAAACTCTTCGGTCAAAGCGCTCCAAGCTTTGGTGATTTTAGCGTTGGACTTAGTAGGTTCATCCAACGGGCCCCCGGGATGGAAGTTACTTGCCTTAGTCACGCGATCCGTAGTCCAACTGGGCTTAGCCGTGGAGTCTAAATCCTCGCTCATTGCTCCTCTATATCCTTCCATTTATACCCTGCGCGCAGTCACCCTTCCAGATCCTGACACCTGGATTGAGGATGAGAGCCGACGGAGACTGTTTTGGATGGTTTACCTCCTAGACCGATACTCAACCATCGCCACTGCATTTGACTTTGCCTTGGACGACAAGGATATTGACCGCAAGCTTCCATGCAAAGATGAATACTTCCACAAGAACCAGCCGGTTGAGACTCGGTGGTTCCGACGTACCAGCGATCGTGCTGAATATTCGAGTCGCGCCGAGAATGTGGGAACATTTGGACTCTACGTGGAAATTCTAGGGATATTATCTCGGATACATACTTTTCTGAAGAGGCCCGTCGATATAGGTGCACTTTCCGATGTCGAGGAATGGCAAGTGATGTATCGCAAGCTCGATAGCGAACTCACATCATGGGAATTCAACCTTCCAGCCGAGTATGCTTATGAAAACTCGTCTCGCCTCTTCAGTGGACCCAAGCATAGCCGGAACCTCCACTGTGACTGGGTTCAACTACACGCTACATATCAAACGTGAGTCTGTCTGTGGTATAGAAATCACACCCTTGCACTCAGCCCCGCGGTAAAATGGCTAACACTTTGTAGCGCTGTAATTCGACTCCATTCGTCGGCCGCTTACCCCACCACACGTTCTCCAATTTTCACCCCATCATACAGTGCTAGCCAACGGTGCTTGCTGGCAGTTGACAACATTCTTTCGGTAACCCGCTATGTCGTGGACAATAGCATGCTGGACAAGATGGGGCCGCCTTTTGCGTTCACCCTCTGGGTTTCTGCTCGCCTGCTGCTTGTCCATGGATCCACCATCGCCCATATTGTTAGCCCCGATATCATCTTCTTTGTTGACACCCTTTCTCAAATGGGGAAGTACTGGAAAGTGGCAGAGCGCTACAGCTCACTCCTACAGCGCGTACTCGACGAGTATGGCGAATACCAACAGTCCACCACTAATGAGGGTGAGCGCGTCACGCCATCGTCTGTGAAAATCCTAGCAGACATGCGTCGTTGTGCATTTGATCTCGATTTTCTCATTTCACGACAGCCGCGCTCATCCCCAGCTGGCAGCCAACCACCAGCCCCTGCAGTCGCGCCAGCTCGCAATCTAGCCCCAAATGAACTCGAGTACCTTGATGTATTCGGCTTCTTCAATGTCCCGCGTGTGCCGGCCGGCAGAGGCCCTGAGATCCTCAGTTTGGATATGGGGGATGCAGTCAACGAGCAGATGCCGATCAATGGCCTTACAGGGACTGGCAACACGACCGATCCTGTCGTTGATAGCACCAACACAAACACGAACGAGTTCAACATCACCAACTACCTGATACCAACACCAGAGACTGACTGGCTGTTTCGTCCCAGTGGTTGAAAGAGCTCTGGCGAGCCTAACGACTAAGTCAAATGGTACCACCAAGTGAAGTTCGAACACATGAAAACACTTAGCTAGTATTGGCCACTTGGGGATCACCGTCAAAGTTACAGGCAGTCACGCAGCAAAAGCGTATAAGCCCGATGAACAATGACTATATGTGCCCACTGTCTAAGTCTGCCATGACAACGGTGCGTCTCGGAGCTTCGTTGTTCCCTGTCTTGATAGTTTTAGATGGCAACAGCGTGTTCCAACAAAGGGGCAGTGAGAAAGAAAGTGGCCCTGAGGGCAAGCTGCTCCTCGCGTTCAAGTCCTTCACGAGGAACAAGTCTCTGCATCATTGAACCTGCTTGGTTCCTGCTTATGCACAGCAGTGCTTGGCTCCGGCCGCTTGCGGTTTCACTACGCCTCTCTTTCGAACATGCGAGAGGACGAAGCAAGTCTTATGATTGATGTCACAGAGGCAGACTCGACCCTTTTGAGCATGATTACGCATCATAATATCAGTCCTGTGAGGACAGCCTAGGTACTCGTCCTACCACTCAATATATGATAGGGATAGTGGTTCGTACGATAAATATGCACTGTGGGAAGCCGGAGGAAGGTACAAAATCTCTCGACTATATATCACATAGGCTGTTAAGACAGGGTCAAGTCTACACGGAGCCTTTGTTATGAGATGCAACAATTCAGGCGTGTGACCTATCGTGAATTCGTTTGAAGTAAATTTGCTTATGTTCATCAATCTTAACCTAAGAAAACATAGCCACAGAAGAAAAGAAAAGGGAGAGGAAGACTTGAGAACTTCTTACCCAAACACAAAAGCGAACTTGAAAAACAAATAGAGGAGGCGAACAAAGTCAGGAGCCTGCTTGACTTTGAAAAGATCCAGCTCCTTCTTGATAATCATGATGGGAATAACAAAGGTTCCAGCCCAAGGTAGATAGAAACGTCATGCATACATTGAACAGAACGAGAAAGTATTGACTCCAACAGGAAGACATGCCAAGGTGACATGACTAGATAAAAAAGTGTAGTCCAGGGGTCTTGAATGCGCAAGTCTCTTATCAATGAGAACACCAGGCATTGGATTCATGGAAAGTGGTCCAACGGTAGAGATCTGCCAGGCTTGTTGGGACAGATGAGGTTGCGAGCGAATATGTGTGAAGGGAAATTCGTTATCATCACTAGAGAGGCCTAAATTCCAGTAGCGGACCGCATCGTTGCCCCAAGAAGACAACAATTAAGCCCCGCTTGAGTTCGAATCATCGTCGGATGGCTCAATCCGAACAAGAATCTCTTCGAGAAACCCCTCTAAGAACGACGAGACTTGGGCGCCCATTCCCACAGGGGCCTCATTATCCCAACGTTCAAGTCTTGTGAACATCCCGCACAGATCGCCCACAAGAGACTCCATCATCTCGTGCGCGTGGTACTGACGCGCCTGCTGTTTGTAAGCATCGGTGCTCTTATTGCCAGCGGAGTTGTGAGTAAGAAGTTCCAAGCGCCGTGCCCGACGACGTATGGCGGCTTCGAGAGCAGGTAATATCACACTGTTCAAGGCGGTAATTTCGGTCGACGAGGACTGTGATGGTTGATTACTTGCTGCCCATGCAGCGCTGTCAAAGGAGCTTTCTATCGCGATGTGAGACTGACTTCGAATATGCTTCACTGGGGTAGGTGTGTTGTTTTGCGCGAGCACTTGCTGAGATCGGAATGATGGCGACTGCGGCGACATGTGCCTAGGAGTAGGGGGAGGCCGAGGCAGTGGTTGCGGCGGTGCGAATAGCTGACGATGTGGGCTGGATTCTGCTGCAGGTCTGGATCCCTGACTGGATGAAGGGCCAGGAACAGCGCGAGAGGGGCTATGTCTCTGAAAGAGTGCATGCTCTGTGCATTGTGATGGTTGCGTTCTCTCACAACCCTGTGTTGCATGAGTATCGTGGCGGCTGTTTGAGGAGGCTAGGGAAATGTTTGGTGACTGGTCGAGGTTGAGGAAACTCAAGTCTTCGGCTAAAGCTTGCTGTAGAGCTCTATCGTATTCATTGCCGGGGCTCTCTTTAGGCAGGCGCGTAGCTGGCTCTTTTAAATAAGAAGGTGTATGTGGTCTGAACTCTGATGCTGAAGACTTCATAGGAGATGGCGGCAAAGGAATTTTAGAGGGTGAGGATGGTACGGATACAGCGCCTGGAGTACGCGGTGGCGGCATCGGCACAGTAGGAGGATTGATTTTATCGCGTGCAAACTCCATACGACTGCTTGCCTTCAGGTTTTGTTCAGCGATATCATGAGCTCGTGCATTCACGTCGGCTTCTTTCATGGGCTTCAGCGCAGGAGCTCGTCCCCCAGCAGGGCGGACAGTGCCAAAGTCCCAGAGATCGTCTTCTTCGTCGACAGGGCTGGTCTTGGATGGAGGTTCTTGATAGTTATCCTCGTCGTCATCGGTCGATTTACTTCCATGAATAGTATTCCAGCGCTCGTAGCGTTCAATCAATTCCGTTAGGTATGTTGTCTTCTTCGCCCTTTTGATGAATGGATGCTCCAACAATTCTCGGGCTGAAGGTCGCTCCCGCGGATCCCTCCGCAGGCAAAGCTCCACGAAGTTCTTGAAAGCTCTGCTGTAGTCCCCGTGCAAGGTTGGGGGAGGATTTTTAGGAATCAAGAACAAAACCTTCATAGGATGAATATCCGAGTAAGGTGGCTCTCCATTCGCCAGCTCAATTGCAGTTATTCCAAGAGACCAGATATCGGCCTTATAATCATAGCCCGACTGTTTGATCACCTCTGGTGCCATCCAGAATGGTGTCCCCACAAAGGTGTTTTTCTTAGTCATAGTTGCTGATAACTGACTTGAAACACCAAAGTCTGCGAGCTTCACCTGGCCACTAGAAGTGAGAAGGATATTGGCAGCTATACCACAGATTAGCTGGTGTTGGACGGGCCGATACATAAGCGGTATGATAAACAGTACCTTTGACATCACGATGTAGCTTCTTGTCGCTATGCAAGTAGTCTAATCCCCGGAGCAACTCTCGGAGAATTATCATAATATACTCCTCGGGAATGGTGCCGGGGCGCATCAAATCCGAGCAACTACCACCGGAGCAGAACTCCATAACGATCCACAAGCTAGACCCTTTCAAGAACGAGCCATGATACCTGGTCACGTAGGGCGAATTGAGCTCCGACAAGATAGCAATCTCTTGGATGATATCTTCAACCTCATCTTCGGCATTCTCGACGTCGATGATTTTGATCGCAACAGATGCTCCGTTACGTTTATCGACCCTTAGATCGAACCACAGCGTGAGCGATGGGTCTTATAGATCTTCTGCAAACGGGAAATAGAGACAGCACCATACCCTTTATATACTTTCCCAAAACTTCCGCCACCTAGACAACGGTCGGTCAGGAAAGCCAGCTAACAGTTAAGGCGGCAAAGCGGATACGTACCGATGCAATTCTGCTTCATGTAAATTGTCTCTGGGTCTACGAGGCCTTCCATTTCGGCTGTGCTTGGACTCACGACCTGCTAATGGCCAGTGTTCGATGTGGTTCTGTCATAGTCAATGTAAGAGTCAGCATTGACAGCCGACACAAAGGATATTTATGGGAGGACCAAGTAGCCAGTGAGCAGGGGATGGGCCAAGAGGTTTCGAGGAGAGAGCTATAGTGGATGAATCGTCCAATCAGCCATGAGAGAACGGTGACAACATACCTAGTACCGATCGCCTAGAATCAGCAGTCTAGGAGGTATGGAACGAACAGATAAGGTTCAATGAAACACTGAGAACATTCATTGACAAAGGGGGAAGATCAATTCTATGTCAGAGTCCACAAGGGCGAAAAAGCGAGGATTAAGCTCAAGTGCCACCCGTGGAATGCGAGACACTGGTCGACCAGTGCACGATCAGCTGGCGGGGGGGGGGGTTTGTTGAACCCAGCTGAGCCAGGACTTGCACTTCTGAAGGAGGGGGCGAGGGGAGAGGAAGGAGGGGGAAGAAGGGAGGAAGCGGTAAGTTAGAAGAATAGACAGACAAGCGTCCTTTTAGAATCAATCCCTTGCTTTGATTGTCAATTTAGAAACAAGTAAGGATCTCAGACAGAGCTCAGATCGCAGAGAGAGAAGAATCTCCTTGCATACTGATAGTGTAGTAATGGGCAGGGCCACTGCAAACATGGAACAACAACAACGAAGGAGGGACCGCCCGGTGATTGGGGCAACGCGGGGTTGTTTCTGCCGGCCCAATGCCTTGATTTCTTGCCAATGGTGGGGCTCAGTCCTGAATGGCGGTCAGCAGCTACTACCCACCCCCCCAACCCCCAAGTAGCCCGGTAACTGCGCCCGGCGGGTACCTACGGCTGCCCAGCGCGGGACTAACAGCCACGGAACGATGTATGTACATACTCCATACTCTGTCAAGCACTTGCAATCAAGTCTATCGCTCAAAAATCATGTGTCTTATTGCATCCTGGCTTAGATCTATAAGGCCCCGGTCATCCATTATGATCTTCTCCCAATTCATCCTCAAATGAAATAGTTCCGAATGTACGTCTTAGATAAAAACCTCCCGCCTTCGTAGCTCGTAACGTGCAGGCTCGAAGGACTAGATGCACTCAGTGCGAAACGGGGCTTTCCCTTCATCACAGCGACCCGTCCTGGATCCTAAGCATTGGAGTTTTCGTCGACTGTGAGATCATTCATTCTCAACATAACCAATCATTACCGTTCCGTTCTTCAAACCGGCTTCTTCGATGCTTGCATCCAATGAGTCGATCAGATTACGACCCATGGCATTGAGGTCGAACTCCACCCCTTGCTTGTCTGCCAACGGAGGTTCGGCTTTGAGCCACTCGTAGATCCTCCGAACCGGGTCTGCCAGAGCGAAGCGGCGAATGACTCTTCCGGAGGGATGGCGGAACTGAATGCGCGTCGTTGTTGCGGGATCGGTCGGTGGTTCGGTGTGGGGGTTGTCATTTGAGATGGCAGCGAATGCACTATGCTCACCTGGCTCCTCTTCATCCATGTCGACGTCTTCCACATCGACCGCCTTCCCCTTACCTTTGACGTCTCCAGTACTGCGGGTAAGCTCATCAGGATCCTCCAATTTCGGGGCTTGGGCCGCCTGTTCACCCAGGCTGTTCCTCATCGCCATCTCCAGCATTTCTTCCTCAGTCATGGCATCTATGCTCTTCTCCTTCTGTTCCGGCTTGCGCTTAGCAACGGGGTTCCGCACATTGTGTTTCAGACTGTACCGGTCCAAGAATTCGTGAAGTTGCATCAAGAATTCGGCGGCCCGCACAACTGGAGGACCAGACCAGACCTTCATCTGTTCTCCCGTCCGAGGATCGACAATTGCGATGTGAGGGTAGTTGTCCGATACTGCGCTTGCTTGAAAATAATACTGGAGATAGGGCGTAGCCCGTGGGTCGTCCTTGGAATACTGAAGGAAGACAAAGTGTTCCTTGACGGTATCCCGCACTCCAGGGTCTT